GGTTACACCTCCAAATGCCAGATGCAGGGGAGGGTCAGGCATCTAGTTGTCTTGTGTGCTCCCAGAGGCGTCTGGTGGGGCTACTGTGAGATACAGGAAGCTGGACTAGATGGTTCCTGGCCTGATCCAGCATGGCTCTTCTTATGTTCATATGTTCATATTTAAGACATAAGGCATCTATTCAACCATTGGAAAGATACTGTGTTTTCCTAAATCTTGATTTATTAATCACCTGCGTGTTAGGAAATAATTGAATATTTCCTGAGTATCCTACACAATAAATGTACAGTGGTGCCTCACTTAGCGATCGCTCCGTTGAGCGATGAAATCTCTTAGCGACTGGGTTTTGGCCATCGCAAAAGCGATCGCTTTGTGATGGTCTCTGTGGGGGAAATCGCTTTGCGATGATCGCGGGGAAGCGATCATGGCAAAGCGACCCTTTTTAAACAGCTGATCGGCAGTTTCAAAATGGCCACCAGAAAAACAAAATGGCCACCCGTTGTGTGTCCTCGCTTTAGAGGCACTGAAAATGGCCGCCCCTATGGAGGATTTTCGCATAAGGTTAGTTTTTAATGCGTTTCTATGGGCTTTTAAAAATCGCTTAGCAATGAAATAGCTTAGCAACATTTTTCCGGGAACGGATTAACGTCGCTAAACGAGGCACCACTGTATAAAGAACTAAAGTACTTCAAATGTGTATCCTTGTTACACTGAATGACTGCTGATGCAATTAGGTGCTTTTAAAAAAGTTGAAAAACAAAGCATTTCCAAATATGATCATCCAACAAAAGTATCTATGAAACGGCTCTGTGTTACTGTTTCCCCAAAAATAAGACCTAACCTGAAAATAAGCCCTATTACGATTTTTCAGGATACTCATAATATAAGCCCTACCTCAAAAATAAGACCCAGTTAAGTGAAACCCCACCCTCCATCATTGTGCAGTAACCAGAAGATGAAATGACTGTATTTGAATAAATGTAAATTGTTGTACATGAAAAAATAGAACATCCCCTGAAAATAAGCTGTAGTGGATTTTTGGAGCAAAAATTAATATAAGCCCCTGTCTTATTTTCGGGGAAACACGGTAGCTCTTCTCTGACTCAGCAGTGCTGTTCTTATGAACTTAACATGGTATTTATGGAAAAACATGGAGAAAGAACTGGGAAAGTGTGTGTGGAGGAATTCCTTTATAAGGAAATGCACTTTTCTTCAGGAAAGACTCTAAGAACACTTTTTTTTTTTGGCCTGGCCTTTGAGACATAAAGAGCATAGTCTATTGTTGTTGTTTAGTCATTAAGTTGTGGCTGACTCTTCGTGACCCTATGGATCAGAGCCTGCCAGGCCCTCCTGTCTTCCACTGCCTCCCGGCGTTCGGTCAAAAGTCTAATTATATCTTTAATATAATCAAAGTACTATATTTAGGATTGTCATCAAAGTGGATTTTATTATCAGCTGTTCTTTTTATTTCTACCTAATCTTTAACTTTCATCTTTCACATAGCATTTCAGAACCTGATTTTGTGCTCTAACTATCATCCCCAGGAAAGATGGCCAATTGTGGAAGTCGTAGGCCAAAATATACAAACAGCACTAGATTCGAGAAGGTTTGTACAAAAAAGCAGGATGCTCCATCAAGGGACAAATACAAAAGCATACCTTCACAGTCGTCTGTGTATTATTCCTAAGATATCACTCTCCCCAAAGGCAGGCTGGCCTACAGAGGGAACACATTTATAGACCATTACAATAAATTGAAGACATACCTGATTCCCTCATAATTCTTTACAATGTTTTTCCAATGGTAGACTAATATTGTGTGTGATCTGGCACTCATTATAATCATACACAAAATCAGAATGCAATACCATTTAAAGAATGCTCAGTGAATGACTTTTGTGAAATAAAGAGATCAGAAACGTAAGGAGCCAAGAACTGGGATCCCACTGCACAAGCACACTTGTCAGCCTAGCAAAAAATAAGATGCAAAGGGCTGCACAGGTGATCTCTGACCTCAAAATACAGATAAGATGATGGGACATGTATGATCTGTAACATAAGGTGGGGCAGCATTTATTCACGTTATAACATGCTGGCCCAGCTCTGGCTGAAGAATGAAAAAATCCCTCAAGGCCTCTGATAGGTGCAAAATTAAAATATATCTGAAGATGCGGCCTGCTGCTGTTATTTATCATACACTCCAGGATAATTACATGAAAATGCAATGGCCTGGATCTGAATGTAGTCATGTTTAAACCACAGCAGATTAGCTGAATTCAATAGGATTTAAGCTGGCCATCACTGAATTAAATCTAATTGACAGATCTACATTAATAAGTGTGGCTCCAACTCAGTGGCCAGTATGCACTTGTGGAGTTCTGCCTATGCAGTAGGAATGATGTCACAAGCAGCAGCAGATTCCAAATAATTAAAGAGTTCCTTTTTTTTTGATGACTTTGTCTCATTGTATGCAAGCTGTGCACACCCTAAAATAAAAAATGAGCTCTTTAAATAGCAGTAATCTGCTGCTAATAGTGATGTCATCCCCATTGCACAGGCAGACCTCCATGAGAGATTATTAGCTAATTTCTCCTTTTCCAAACTCCAAATATAAGTTTTACAGGCCATTATCAAAGCAGTAAATACAAAGACACTATTCAAATGTAACTCCACAACAAAGAGAATCATTGACATTTTATTAATTAAAAGATATGTCTTTACAGTGATTCTTCATTCATCCACGAATTCAGGCACAAATTAAAATTTTGGCAATACAGTATCAGACAACTATACCCCATTCAGCCATAAAATAAGTAAAATTACAACCTATTTCCATGTCACGTTTACAAGTAACCCAGTTCAGTTCAATGGGGCCTGCTCACAAGTTAGTGGGTGAAGAATTGCAGTTTTAGTTTTGTACCTGTTCATACATAAATGTTTACTTTTTCTATTAACATTAGACAGAAGTGCTCATACCATACCAACACATTCTGTACAATATCACCCACATTAAGTGTCAAGTCACAAGTACCAATACAATATATTTTTCTTCAGGATAAGTTTGTTATATAAAATAACCATTACAAAGATGCTGCACTAGCTAGAGGAAATGATAAGTCAGTAGGTAACACAAAAGGTATTCTATTATGGGTAAGAAGGTAATACCCTAATTATCTGTAAAAGTGGGATATGACTAAAGCAAAGTATTGTTAGTGTCCTTCTATGTTAGCGGTGCAATTTAAGTCTCAGACTACAAAAAGTATAGCTCTCCACAAACACCTACCACCCATTATTTCTTATCATGATGCACCTGTAATAGTGGACACATGGGAATCTTGTTCACATCCCATCCCCACTATTAATTTAGTGCTTAGAATCAAACTGATTTTTACTACTAAACTTGTGGCACTATATATGTGATGCAGCATCACTTAAGAGCATCCAATTTATCACTGGTCTACAGCAGAGCCCTTAGTGAACAAAGTTGTAGAAATTGTTACAGAAAAAAACAAGCATCAATAGTTTGAAGAATCGAATGTTCAAAACACTCACTATGATTATTGACCACCTCTTTAAGAAACATTTAAATATATAATACCTATAAAAATACAACATATTGTCAGCTATACCCATAATTTAAATATGGCAAACAGCTAATATTTAAAAATAGACTGGTGTGACAAATATCGCTCCTAAAGAGATCATACAGAAAAACAAGTTAGTAATATTCAGATTACTTTAAAGGAATCTGTATAGATATTCTACTCTGGACAGTATTCTGCACTGCAGAATTGTCAAACTCTATATTCTTTGCTACAAGATTTAACATCTAGTGCTGTAGTGCAGCATGACACTTTGGAATGATTACTTTGCTACAGGTTACATATTAGCTGAAAAATAAGAGAAATGCCACTGGCCTCTATTCCACTGAAATGTAAGCAGAAGTGCTTGATGCACTCCTTCCTTTGCCATCTGCAATGTTTAACAAAAGGCACGTGTAATTATAGCTTATAAATTAAGATCAAGGATGCCTTTGCATTTTTTCGTACTTTGTGTGAATAAAAAAAAATCAAAGTACTGTGGCTGTTTGTATTATTAAGTCGTTCCTAAGGTTTAGTCTCATCCAACAAAGATACAAGATGTATTAGTTGTATGTTTATCTATGCAAGGTGACTAACAATTTTTGCTAGACTCCAGTCATTCTTTTGGCATAGCACTTCTTTAAAGATTTATTAGCATTTCTATGTATCATGTATATGATAATGATCTACACAGAGTTAAAGATACAGTTACCCCCAGCTTACTTGGAAATACTTCAAACTTTTCTTTAAAGTGGGTATACAGGCAGCCCCTCTACCCTAATGTCTAAAAAGGAACTTGTGAAGAGAGAAGGATCAGGAGGAAAAATATTTTCTCTTCAGCACGTCTGATAGCATTTACGTTGCTGCAATAAGAGAATTTGCACAATACCTCTAACAGTTTATGGTGAGGAATTCAGTAACATCCGAACTGCCTTCAGAAACAGTTACTGTTTATATTCATAGTTCTAGAACTGCATTTAAACTGATTTTTTATCACGGTAAAACTATTGGTTCCAAAATATCTGACAAACCAATTTAAAACACGGTTCATCTAGTTTTGCATTTATTTGGCAGTGTTTGACTTTTATAATCATAACAGCAGCATCTGGGGACCAGCCCCAATATTCTTATTCTTTAAAGAGAAAGTGCTAATAACACACCAGTTTTGTAGAAACTGCTTACTTTGGAATAGAAACATTTCTGAGTTAACCAAGTTCTTCCCAAATGTTATTCTCTGATATTTCCTTAAGAGAGAAACAAGATGACATTTCAAGTTACAAAGAAATGTTCATCCGTGCTTTTCTAACACACATTTATTCACTATAATTTTAAAAAGGAATTGTTGGACAGCTAATTTGCCAAGGAAGACATTAAGAAAGCTTCTGTAATAAGTATCAGCAAACATTCACGTGCTTTCTGATTTCCATGTTTATTCTACTGGATATACAGAAGCATTTGGCCCCACTGACAACTTTTAACTTCTGAATCTTAACACGTGGATGTCTCACCTAGGCACTGTGTTCCTGGACACATCAGCAAACATGAACTCTGTGTTGGGATTTGATCTCTGGACCAGGGCACTGTTTCAGGCTTCTGAGAAAGCCATTTAACAACATTACTGAGGAACAATTTCCCATCATTCTAGGACCAGCTCCTGATCCCACTTCACAAATCAAAGGTTAACCACTAACACTAAACTTCAGGACAAATTTAAAGAGCTGGTGTTATCACGAGATGCAGATGTAGTATGCAAGATTGTACACGGGTTTCAAACAGTACCTTAATAAACAAAGAGCCTCTGTAGATAAGAAGGGGGGGACACTGCTCTCTCTTCACAGGACAGACAAAAATAAAGTTGCACTACATATACATAACCACTGCTCTAGTGTCCACAAAAACTATTTCTTCAACATTGTTTTCCCAAATGAAACAATCAGTTGTATCTCAGTCAAGCAGCTAATTAAAGCTTAAGCTGAAGTAAATTCAAATTCATTTCATACCATGTTAAGACTTTTACTCAACAAATTAAACATGCTCAAACATCGGAACTCAACAGGACAAAAAAAAGGTTATATACTTAAAAATATTTAGGTGCAATCACTTTTCCATTACAGTTAATGCACCACCCCGTTTCCCTTTGCAGTTATCAATCACAAATTGTGTAACTGTAATGTGATATTTTGAGATAAATATGTATGTTTAAACACATGCATCTTACTACCATAATACTGCCACTGCCTGCTCCCCTTAAATATGTGCTTGCTGATATGAATAAGGGAAGGCACTTTCAAAGGAGAGTGATGGGTACCTGACCCTCCTACCCATTAATTTTCCCCTGCATTTTAATTTCCTCCATTTAGCCTGACAAAGAGTAAGCTCGGGAACCAGGCTTTTGCAAGGGAGAACTGACAGTTGCAGAAGGGGCAAATCATATTTGCCTGCCCACCTGACTTCCTCTACAAATGCGAGTCATCTCTCTTTTCTTCTTCTCCTGTAAACATGCAGCTTGGAACATATATTTGCTGTGAGTTTCTAGTTTTGCCCATACAAACTTAACTCTGATTATGAGATAAACCCCTTTGAAACATTCTCATACTCTCAAGTTTCTTCCTTCTCCCCAAAAAGATGCGAAGTATTAAATGCAGAAACTAACATTTCATAGAAAATAACCTTCTCCGTACTGTGCTAGTTTCCAAACGGCAGGAGATTTTACTGTATCAAAAGGCATATTTGAACATAGCCCAGATTCAGGTTTAACAAACCATTCAGAAATAGCAATCCCTAATACTCTACCAACATGTATGTAGAACTTTACATAAAACTTAATGGTGGAATTAAAAACTATTAGGATACAGCTAATCTGCATTTTAAACCAAAGCAACATGGTCAGTTTAGTTTAGTGACCTATAGGAAGGTTCATGACAGCACCACTTTGTGCATAGCTCTGAAAAATGTTGAAGCTCAAACATTGTCTCAGATTAAGCTACTTATCCCTATGTTTACCAGACAGTGCCCGCCAAAGTTATCCTCACACAGCCCCATCCAGGCAACTTGAAGTGTTATCAGGGTAGTGATCTGTTCTGCCTTAGGCAGGTGTAACAAAAACTCCTTCTATTCTATCCGAACACATTGGATTTTGGTCTAAGTTTGAAAGAGCCTTTCAAGATCCTTTCTTCTTGTCCTTTTTCTTCGGCATCCCCACGAAAAGAAGGGGTGGTGTGGATGATCTGGGTACGGAACCGGATTTTGTTGAGCCGAGGTTTTATCCTAGCACTGCCAGACGTCTTCCTGCTGAGTTCTCTGCCCTTTCCAAAGGCTCCGGTCCCCTCTCCCGCCTCGCCTTCCTCGCCGCCGTGGTGGAGATGGGACAGCTTGTAGGTGATGAGGTTGGCCGGGAGCACCCGAGAAAATCTCCAGCGGCCGCTGCCGTTGGGCGCCCCGCCGTCGGCTTCGTCCTGCAGGGCCCCGACCAGGTGGCGCACCTCCTCGGCGGTGCTCCGGCTCAGGTAGTGCGAGGCCTTGCGGCCGCTGTAGTCGCGGATGTCCACGTCGGCGTCGTAGGCCCCCACCAGCAGCTTGACCACCTCCAGGTGCCCGTGCATGGCGGCCAGGTGGAGCGCGGTGTAGCCGCCGCTGGTGCGGGCGTTGATGTTGACGGGCAGGCGGTGCCGGTGGGCGAAGCTGACCAGCATGGCCAGCACCTCGTGGCGCCCGTGCTTGGCGGCCCAGTGGAGGCAGCTGAAGCCCGTGATGAAGTCCCGCTTGGAGAGCAGCGCCGGCTCGCAGCTCAGCAGGCCCTCCAGGCTCTCCCAGCGGCCGTCCGAGGCGCACAGCATCCACGCGTGTTCCAGCGGGTCCAAAGCCACCGAGCCGCTCCCGCTGCCGCTCTCATCCTCGGCCGACGAGGAGGCCACCGAGGCACTGTCCGAATCCCCCCCGCCGCCGCCGCCCCCGCTACGGCTGCTCCCGCTCCCGCCGCGAGAGAGCAAGCCGCCGCGCTGCTTCATCTGAGGCGAGCTGCCCAGCATCCGCTCCCGGAAGTTCTTGCGCCCGCACCTCGGCGTGTTGGTGGCGGTCGTGAGGACGCCGCCCAACGGGAGGAGGGCGGCGGCGGCAGTGTTAGCCGAAGGCGGCGAGCAAGGGGACGAGTCCTCCTCGTTGCCCACAATCGGCTCCCCTTCAGCCTCGGCCGCTTCATCTCCCTCAGAAACAAGGCATGCCTCCTCTCCCTGGCCTCCTGCAAGGCTGGGCTGAAGTACCTCAGGGGCGCTGGGCGGGAGAACCTGAGGTGGCGGCTGCGAGGGCGCGCCTTCCTCGGGCGGAGGCTCTCCCAAGGGGGCAGAAGAGACCGTTCCCGAAGGGTCCTCCCCACCCAGGCGCTCGGCAACGGCTTTCGCCTCAAGGGTGGCACCGCCGGAGGCATCCCCGCTGCTGCTGCTGCTTCCACCGCCTCCACCTTGAGCCTCCTCCGGCGGCAGGCACGGAGCCTCTTCCACAGCGGCCTCCGCGGTTACTGATGCGCCGGCGGCCGCTTCGGAGGCCGCGGTATTTCTTGCGCAACTGCACATACTTGGCGCCGGAGCCCGGCTCCTGCCGCACCGTGGCTACGGCGTTGACCAGCGCCTTGAAGCCCTCGCGGGCCTGGGCGCGGCGCTGGGGCTCCGGGGAGTTGAGGAAGCCTCGGAAGTGCTCCAACAGGTCCGCGTTGCGCGCCCGGCCACCCCGCTCCGCCAGGAACTTCAGCACCGCGTCCTGGTTCAGCTCCACCGACGCTGCCATCAGAGCGGAGCGGGCAGGAGCCTTGCTCTGCCTTTGCTCCCGCCTTCCTCGCACTCTAAAGCCTCCTCCTCCTCCGGCTCCATAGTACCGCTGGTCTCATCCTCCTCGACCTCCTCCTCCTCCTGGGTCCCCCGCCTGAGAAGTCTCCAAGCGGCACCTCCGGCACTCCAATCCCGACTCCTCCTCAGCCCCTGCTTCCCTCGCCGTCTCCTCAGCCCCCTCCCCTCGCCGTCATGACCACCCCAGCAGGGCGCTGGCTACCGCCTTCCCTTCTCACGTGACCCCAGCGGAGGGCAAGAAGGAGGCGCCTCCGGGCCCAGCTTAGTTTAAACCTGGCGAGCGGAAAAGACAAGAGTGATTTCCCCCCCCCCTCCCCCGCAGGCAGAGGCTATCAATTACTGTACTGTAATCTCAGCGCACCACTCGCTCCGGCTCCGCCCCTCTCAGCCGAGAGGGAGGGGCACTCATTTTGAGGCCACTCCCTCTGCTTCCTTCTCGCCCGTTTTTTAACGTGGACCCGCCCGTTGGCAGCAGTTTTACCTCCCCCTTCTCGTCCTTCTGGCGGAGTCGTTCGCTCTTGCTGGAGCATCTCCTGCTGCGGACACGCGGTTGGTCGAACGTTTGTCCCGCCCCTTCTTCGCGAGGCTCCTCCCCTCCGCCGGTTACATTCCAGCTGTTGGGATTGGAGCAGGAAATTCTGGGCTCGTGCTCTACCGCCCTTCCTCCTCCCGCCGCTGTTTCTTTTGGCGCGCGGCGACCCCTCCCCTCATGCCATGGCTTCCTCCGATGTGGCTCGGCAGCTGGTAAGTGCCGCGCGGTTGGCAAGGGCGGGGAAGCCCACCAACGGTTCTTGGGAGGCTGTGCTCCCGGGCACACGCCGTGGGATCGCAGATTTCTTGGGCTTCCTCTCGACCAGAGAGACGCGGGGTTGAATTGGCGAGGCTGCGGTCCTAGAACCAACGAGGAGCGCCTGGACCCATTGATTTCAGTGGGTGGGGACCCGCTTAATTCGGATCAAGCTGCCTGTGGATCGACAGGGCACGGCGTTGTGAAATAATTAATCTAGTAGATAGCTGTGTATTGTAGCCAAAGAGAAATCAGAAGTCGTATAACACCAGAAAAACTAACTAGTTTTTATTTTCCATAAACTTTTGTGTGTCTGAGTACGATTTTTCAGAAGAATAATATCTCGGGGTGTGTGTGTGCGGAGAGTATAAAGCTAAAATGTTTACCTCCCCACTATTTTTTGAAGTATTTCGATGAGCTGCCATAGCCTTCCTTTTCTTTATGGCACTAAAATCCATTTTGTAGTCCTCTTTTCCTTGCCAACATAGATGTAAGTTTTTGGGTGGTCCTGAGCTCTCCAAACGAAAACTCTTTTTTAAAAAAATTACTTTAAATTACATATACTTTTCTTTGTCAGGTCACAAACGAAAATAAAGATATGAGCTCTTCATTAAATGCTGTCCCTTTTTTATGCCTTTTCCATATTGCATCTTGAGAGAAAGCCTGGCCTCTTCCCTTGTAGTCTTTTGTTATGACTTCATTTTTTCTCAAGGCCAGTTCACTCAAACAATTTGTTGTGTTGCATGAATTTTAGGATTGGTATAACATATAGCTGTGGACACTTAGTAGCATAATGGAGTTTGTTTATTAGTAAATATGCATAAGATCAGGCTGAAAGCACATTGTTCAAGGTTAGTCCACAGAAAGCAGGGGTAGAAACAGCTACTGTAAAATAAATATACTGTACCTGCATATTGAAAAGGTCCTTGTATAGAGGTAGATTTTTGTGACAAACCATGGCTAAAATCTCCCCTTAAGTGTGTAGGGAAATCTTTCTGTAGGGAGAAGCCTTTAGTCTTGTTCTTCCACACCTGTAGTGGAATGAGTTATTCTGTTCCTCAGACTAAATTTACATCTTTTTTTAGCAGTCCGTCTGGTGGACCTCAAAGCTGAGATGCCCAGATTTGTCAGATACTGTATGTCCAGATTAACATTGAATGCACATTTTACCAAATCACAAATAGTTGCTTTGTGATGGCATGGTAGGAGAGGGATACGCGTTAGTTATCTATTGAAAGAATTAACAGTATTTCTGTAACATAATACATATCCAGTCTTAATGAATGTATTCTATTTGTATACACAGTACGCTTAGTTATATGTACTGAGCTTCAGTGAATAACATTCAGGCTTGGAATAGTTTTCTGTGCTGTTTTACACCACTTATATGGTTATTCCTGTGCACCACTTCCTGTGTCTAGCTTGCACCATTGTGCAAAAAAAAACCCCAAAAACAAAGGTAAAGGTTCCCCTTGACAGTTTATCCAGTTGCGTCCCACTCGAGGGGGTGGTGCTCATCTCCGTTTCCAACCCATAGAGCTAGCGTTTGTCCGAAGACAATCTTCCATGGTCATGTGGCCAGCGTGACTAGACACGGAACACCATTACCTTCCCACTGTGGTGGTACCTACAGTATTTATTCACATTTTGCATGCTTTTGAACCGCTAGGTTGGCAGGAGCTGGGGCAAGTGAGCTGGGGGCTCACTCTGTCTCGTGGATTCAATCTTACGACTGCAGGTTCTTCTGACCTTGCAGCACAGAGTCTTCTGCGGTTTAACCTGCAGCAGCACCACGTCCCTCCCCCAAGAAACCAAAAAAAAAAGAGGTCCTGAACTAAGTGTATTTTAAAGATCTCTAACCCTGTAAATGTAAGCTCTTGCCTTATATAAACCAACCCAAATGTTCTTTACATGCTTCCTTGATTTCACTAGATCTCAAGTACCTTTGCCTGTGTAATTTCTAATTGTAGATTTCTGTGGAGTTTCCCAGTATGAAACTTAGAGAGATACTGCATGACAAAATGAGTGCATATTTGGAATTGGAATAATGTAGAGAATAGTATTATTGAGAAACTACTATAATGTTTAACTTGAAAGATATTATTTCATTTATTTTAAAATCTTTTTAACATTGAAGAATGTTTTTCTTAGGAATTGGAATATTTAATAAGTAACAAAACATTGATTTTTTTTTTAAAAAAATCACCTATAGCACTCTCACTCTCTGTCAAGAACAACAGTTGAATTAAGATAGTGTAATAAACCCACGGTAATAACAATTTCTAGAAGCAGTAGTCAGAACTAGGAAAACGGTACAGCTATTCAGCCAAACACTTTTTAAACAACAATATTTTTGCCAGTTGTCTAAAATTACAGAGTAATGGGCATTATGAATCAATCTCAAAACAGAGAATGCTGTTGGGTAGGCATCATAGAGATGGTAGCTTTCAATGATATTTCAAAGAACCTGAAGCTGAATCTAGAAGAGAGTAGTGTATATCTAAGATATGCAACTTCCAAGCCGTATAGGGCTACATAAGTTAATATTAACACCTTGAATTAGCTGCAAAAACTAACCGGCAACTAGTGCAGATCAGACAACGCAGATCCCCTCTGACCAGAGTGCCTTAAAAGAAAGTGCCGTTTTATTCAAAAACAGTCAAGCTTTTGGAAAAGAAGGGAATGATAAATCACTTTTAAGTACTCTATACCTAGAAAACTGTGGAAGGGGTTGCCATAAGTCAGAACTGACTGGATGACACATAATTATTATGCAACTCGCATAGGAGTATATCGTGACACATAATTATTATTATGCAACTCGCATAGGAGTATATCTGTTGGATAGATGTTATTTCTGAGTAGATATGTAAAAGGTGATACTGTAAAAAAATAGAAAATCTTGTGGCACCTGGCAGATTTTAAAAAATTATTTTGTAAAAGTTTTTGTGGATTATAGCCCACTTCTTTATGTCCAAGAAGTGACTTGTAGTCCATGAAAGTATTTGCCAAATAAGCTGCCACAAGACTCCTTGTTTTTGCTGTAGTAGACTGACACGGCTACTGTTCTGGAGATTGCTATAAGGTTGATCTAATGTAAATGTAAGACAAACAAATGTTTATTTTAATGTGCTTTCTGTTTTTGTTCTAATTAACCACATTTTAATGCTGCAGTTATAGGTGTCTTCTGACCTACTGATTTTTTTGCCAATATGTTTATCAAATGATGCTTTCATTTGCTAGCTGACGATTTGGCCCTGATCTCAGTTGCCAATAGAATCACCAAATCCAACACCTAACAACTAAACCTGAAATATAGTCACATTTGCTGCTACAGCGATCAGTACCATGATCTCAGCTGAACCCTAAATAGTAATCTTTCTTCATGAAATATAAATTGAATATTGTTTTTCTTTGTAAAAAAAAAAGGAAAAGATGAGTTCTATAGAGTAACGTAATGAAGTTATGGCCCTATAACGTAAAGTGGGTGGTAGAAAGAGAGGTAGGAGTGTGTAGCTGATTTGGATGAAGCAGACTGATATTCAGATAGTGTGCAAATAGAATCTGAACTCTCTTTAAGCTTCTTAGTGAATTGAAAAATTGTTAAAATTAATATATCCTACCCACCTCCAGTGTTCTGTGTGGGGAAAACAATAGTCTGAGGAGAAGGAGAGAGAGGAAGAGGAGGGTTGTAACTGACAGTTTTAGCTGTCAGCTAGGGAATAACTTGACTCGGACTATCCTTTTTATTTTCAGTCACAGTATTTATGGGAGGGATAGGGAAGGAGGTCAGTCAGAATTAGATTTGTGTTCTCATTTCATTGTATTTTGTGACTGTGTGTTTGTGGTAGCAGAGGGGTCAAGGCTGCAGGGCTTCCAAGGAAAACGTGAGTGATAGCACTAAATGAGAGATGTCTGCATCCATAGTTATAGCAGTTTGTCGATTTCTGATAATGGTCAGTGGCAGATACAACACTTTGAGCATCTACCTTGGATTTTGTTTGGAGTCAAGTTGGGTGGTCTCAGAATCGCTCTCAGTTGGGTCAATCTGTTTTCTGCATTTTGACCTACATCAGCTCTTGTAGTTGGTGCTCACTTGCTAGATCATAAGCTCCAGTAAGCATATGTTTCTGAGTGAAATGCTGTTATACTCAAGTTGTTCAGGAAACCACAGTTATTTCCGCAAACTTTTGTTCCTATAAAATACACAGTTGTAGGTTTCAGGAGATGACGGGACCATCCACCAGGACCATCAGTAATCATATCCTCCTCTTTAATATCCATTTTATTTAGTTTTTCAACATGTTCTATTCTTCTTTCAAGAGGAAAGAGTTAAAGCACTGTCCAATACATCTAGAGCTGTACTCATGTTTATGCTGAAATAAGTAAAATTGTGTTGTGACTTAATTTGAAACCATGTATATGACAGTGATTCTGTGAAAAGAAAACTGCATGTGTTGTCTGAACTGGGTATTGTTTTTATGTAGAAAAACTAAGCCAAGATCATTTAGTAAATCACAAGAAGACAAAAACAATGAAGGCATTTTTATATCTGGAGCTGAGACAGAATTTAGAAGGCATATATTAAGTTGTTCTTCACATCTATTTGGATATGATTCAGTGGTGCTGGCTCTGTGCAGCTGCTACACCCATTAGAATGATGAGTAATTGGTGCCAGTTTGAGAAGGACAGCCTTTAGTCCTTTCTGGCAAGAAACAGAACAATGCTAGAGTTTGTAACATCCTGCCTTTTTACTTATCTCAAGTTGTTCATTATTAGTGCAGCATGTATAACGTTTAATTGTGACAGCATTCAGTAATGTTGATTTTCTAGAAAATGTTTAATTGGAAAAAAATTCCAATACCCCACATGAAATGTAGTATGATGTAGCAGTTTTACATGATTTATACTTGCCCTACAAAAGGTTTAAATGTCTCAACACCCCACAAGGGTTTGAACTGAAATATTTGATATAATAGTTGGAGTGCTGGTTAGAAATAGAAACAGGGGAGGCTTTGATTCAAATTCCTATTAAACTATGAAGTTGAGCAGGGTGGATTTGACTTAAAACACAATTTAAATCACAACTGAAATTTTAAAAATCGGATTTAAATAATTTTGATTTTTTAAAAAATTGTTTTTTATTTATCCTGAAGGTGGGCCTATCACTTTCTCTTAGCTTCAACGTCCTGACGGGGAACTTCTGTACTCATGCTGTGTTAAATCTAAAACCCATTGGTGCATCACCAAGTATCTTAACATGAGATTCTGTGTGATGTAGTCAATAAAGATATACAGGGTTACTGTGAATGACATTCTAGTTGAATGAAAACAAATGAGACACTGGTGGATTTGTTTATAGTGACACAAAATGAAGTAGTTTCAATCTAGGGATGATTTGATGGGCACAGCTGGAAAATAGTTTTCTAAATTGAAATCGGTTTGTACTGCTATGTGTGTTTATATATTATTTATTTATTTATCTTTTTACTCCACCTTTCTCCTTTGTTGTTTTATTTTTACTTGCTGTGTACAAATCAACAAAGCATATATGTATGCTTGCAACACTTCACAGAATAATCAGTTTTAAAATACAAATATAATTAGTGGCTAGAACACAACTAATCTGGATTTTCATTAAAAACTTTCTTGAGAATAAATTTGCTATTTTCAACAAATTCGAGGCTGCCCAGCTTCCTTGATATATTAGCATCCATTGTCATTAGTGAATTTTATGCAACAGTGGTATTTTTAGAAAAAAATCTGTATAAAAATTCATCAGTGGAAAATTTCTCATTGAAAATTCTGTTCCCCACATCCCTGGCAGCAGCTAAATATTTCAGTTTATTTGAATATTAGTTTGAGATATTATAGTAGACATTAGTGTGAATTCATTTTTATCCTATTAGAAGTAGGTAATAGAAACTTCAACTTGTTGCCCAGGGCAAGTTATTTTAGTTTTTTTTCCTGTAAGACTGTACAGAATGCACTATGTGAAGAGCATGTCTTCTGTGGCTAAATATCTGGTGCAATTTTTGCTATATTTTAATGTGAAACATATTTGGAACAATTTAAATAAAGAAAGAATAAAAATGGATCCTTAATATTTCCATTCTTTAATATCAAAGGCTAAAAAAGTTTTTGCATTATTTGTACTGAGGATATTTAAATGTTCAGGCTTGCAAAAAGTTTCAAAGTTTTCTATATCTGTAGCAGGCACTTGAGTCACTTAGTTTTCAGATTAAAACTTGCATCTGCAACTATCCTCTTTGGCAGCAATTCAAGGACACAGGGAAATAAAGTTCTCAGTCCTTTTGATAAGAATGTTGCAGCTCTGTTGTGAAGATTGTTTGCATCCAGACAATTAGCCATGTAATGGCATCCTATTACTGTATTTACGAATGTGTTTACTTCAGTTACATGCTCATTCTAGCAGAAAGAGTTATCTGTGCTTTAAAATGTTAGATCTCCCAGAATGGTGGCTAACTGTAATTTGTGTGATTTTCAAAAGTCCCTTGAAAAGAACGATAGATCTTCCTAGCCTAGCAGGTTGTTGAACAGGAAAGAAGAGAGAGAGAGTGGGTGGTAGAAAGAGAGGATGGGTCACGCTCCTCACTTTTGGTTTAGATCTACCCTCTGCCTCTTTGTGGCTTCCAACAGAATGTCCACAGGGGAATGTGGTCATTTTGAAAAGGGTTCCTATACCTGCCATATGAAATGACTGCTTCTTTTAGTGACCCTTCCTTTGTTGCTTTTTAGGCTTAATTGTATTCAATCAGCCTTTTTTCTGCTCAGTTTTTGACACATGTTGTATAAAGGTTTCTGTGGCGAAGCTCCAGTGTGATTTCGAGCTACACAGGACAAGCTATTTCCATTGTCATTGTGGTTGCAAGAAGTGCCGTTTCAATTGTGAAAGCATCTTCAATTTGCCTGCAGTATAGCTGTGTTCACATTCAGGCTTCTCCTTGCAGTCCCTCAAAGCAGGAGGGAGGAAGAGCAACAAAATCTGAAAAAGCTAAGCAGTTGCATATAAGAAATAACAGCAGATTTGTATGCATTCCCCTTTCTTGAGCAGTCCGTAGATTTGCAATTGATACAAATTGAAGCTAGAAGGGATAATTTCAAGGGACAGGGTTGTAGAGCAATCTCTTCCTTCCTATTGTGTCCTAGATGTGCCTCCACTCAGATTGGGCAGTCACGACACCTGGATAACTTTGCTTGAAGGTTTTGGTGTAGTAAACTGTGGACTATTGTACCCTGTGAAAAATCTGACCATTTCTATTACTCAGAGAAATATTGTTTCTCACAAGGCTGTAAAATGTGGGCATTGACAGTATAAAGATTTCTTGTCCAGAATCATGATGACAAACTAACTTGCAGTATAATTCTAGGCATGGTTAATAATTGCCTTCAAGTCAATTCTGATTTATGACGACCCTTTCCAGGATTTTCTAGGGAGAAAGTAGAAGAGGTTTAGTATTACCTCCTCTGGGGAGCATCCTGGGACTGCACAGCTTGCCCAAGGCCACACAGGCTGGCTCTTCAGAGATGCATAGTGGGGAACTGAACGCTCAAACTCCAGCTTCACAGCTGGATACCTGACTCACTGTTCTATCCAGGCAAGTCCACTCAGAAATAAATAGCACAGTGAGCTTTCCAATAAATGAGTATGTGTCAGATTGCATCCTGCTTCTTAAAGTTGCAGTCCTTAATTGGTTAATCAGATTATATGAGTAACAAACTTTTAATTGACCAAAGAGCTATTTCTGGTTGTTTGGCACTTTTTATTTCAGATGTTGAACAATTAACAACTTACGATTCCATAAGACTTAAGGAATCATAGAAGGCACCGTTTGTTCCATACTGGAACAAGTATGCACCAACTGCCTAAATACAGTGGACCCTCGACTTACGGAATTAATCCATATTGGAACGGTGGCTGCAGGTCGAAAAGTCTGTAGGTTGAGGCTCCATTGACCTACAATGCATTGAAAACTGATTAATCCGTAACTGGCTGTTTTTGTTCCGTTTTGGTTTTTTCCCTCCCGGTCTGTAGGTAGATTCTCCGGCTGTAAGTCGAACCTAAATTTTGCGGCCAGAGAAGTCTGTAACTCGAAAAGTCTGTAAGTGGAGCCATCTGTGAGTCGAGGGTCCACTGTACTTCCAGCAAAAGTATGCACCAACTGCCTAAATACTTCCAGCAAAACAGAGCTTGTCATATCTGGAGGCTGCTGAGCAGCTCCCAAATTATCAGCTGCCTAATAAAGTAAAGAGTCAGGAACCATCCTTAAGATGAACTCTTGCACTAGTTTCTCAAACTACAGTACTGCAACTGCAACTCTGTTCACCACCTGAGTTTGAAATAAAGAGTCAGGAACCATCCTTAAGATGAACTCTTGCACTAGTTTCTCAAACTACAGTACTGCAACTGCAACTCTGTTCACCACCTGAGTTTGAAAGCTCCCCGGGATCCCTTTTGTTAGCTTTTTAATTTCTGAAAATTGCTGCTGCTGGTAAAATCATCCTTTTAGCACATCATTTTTCAGAAGACTGCCCCTGTGCTGTAGCCACAATGTTTTTCCCATGACAAAGAATCTCAAGGGAGCCTGGAGATGTTTATGGGGAGGGTGTCAGAAATTTGTAGTTTTCAAAAAACGATCATGACCGATGACATCATCAGCCTTGCATAGGACTAGTTAGAGCAGTGGTCCTGAACCTTTTAGACACCAAGGATCAGTTTAGTTGAAGCCCATTCTCCTAAGGACCGGGGGTACTTGTTATGCAGTAGTATGTTGGAGGATAGCTTTGAATCGAGCTCATAAAGGAAATGGCGAACAGGAGCAGGAAGTGAGCTGCAGTTGAAGCTCTGACTCCTGTTAGATCATCAGCGGCTTAGAACGTAATAGGAGTGCAGGCTCCTATTAGATTCTAATGCCACAGGCACAGCTGATCTAGCAGCAGGAGGAGGGGAGTGGGGAGTGGAGATCCTCCTCCTGTCAGATCAGCAGAGGTATTAGAACCTCATAGGAGCTCACTGAGAGGAGGTGGAGCTTTGCTCGCTGCTTACCGCTCATCTGCCTTGGCAGCCCAGTCCTTCCAAGGCCACGGACTCAGACTAGTTCGTGGCCTGGCGGTTGGGGACCCCTAAGTTAAAGCATCAACGTTTCTACCAATGTTTTCGGGTCATAAACAAATTTGGCCAAATTAATAGTCGCCAATTAAAACTAATGGATTTAATTAGTCTACATTTTCTTTATAGTTACAGCCCTATCTTGGTCTTACCTCATTGGTTTAATGTGATCTTCAATTTTTTGTTGTTGTTAAAAAAAGAGTTGGTTTCCTTTTTTCCAGCGCTACCAACCTGATAGCAGAATGAGGGCACGCTCTAATCCACCAGTAGATAATCAAGAGCCACGCAGAGTGAGTACATAATGAATTTACTCTAGGGGTTATTTATTTCATATAATTGTTTTTGAATAGAAACAAATGGATCCTGTACTATCTTAAAGGTCTACACTGTACTCTGCGAAAACTTATCACAGTAGATGTGCAAGTCTTTGAGATGCCACATGATTCCTGTTGAAGGAAGCAAAATATGCTTCTGCATTTATTGCATGCATGAGGACCTCAGGCTCTGGAAGGGACCTATAACTCATTTTTGGGGATGTTAGAATAAAATGAATAGCGCTTCTGTGCTTTTCTGAAGCCCCAGATGAAGCATGAGAAAACTTTCTGTCCTTCTGCATGCACAAACAAGTTGTGGGGAAGGAGCTTTGTCTCACTTTGCTTTGAGCGAAAAGCATTGCAAATCCCTCCTTCTGTACCTGTTCTTCTGGAGCCCTTTGTGAAATGAGAGATCAGCCTCTCTGCTCAGTTCTTTGAGCATGCCTTAAATAGATGGTGTTGTGGGAATTGTAATAGACCAGCCATAATTTGTGGACACCTCCCTGTACATGCAACATGTAGACATTCCATGTATGAATTTGTATGTGCTTGTATAAATATCAGTTCTCATCACATTTTTCACATGTGCAAGAGCTCATGTTTAAGTCTGAGTGTGCATTTTTGTATTGTGTTGTGATATTAAATGGGAAGCAATGTTTTCTGTGCATAAGAACATCCAGGAAAGAACTGGGATAAAAGGTCAAAAGCTATAGTAGTACATCCTGATATTAGTCTGATCTGCTAGTCCATAAACTTCTAATGTCAGTGGACCACATAGCGATGTGCACTGCTTTCTTGTCATCCAATAAAAAACTGTGTCAGATGCAGGCCACTTACTGGTTTTTAGGAAGTACAGTGATGCCTCGCAAGATGAAAATAATTTGTTCAACGAGTCACTTCATATTGTGAAAACTTTGTCTTGCAAAGCGCGGTTTCCCATAGGAATGCATTGAAATTTAATTAATGTGTTCCTATAGGCAAAAAATCAGAACAAAGTCACTTACGAGGTAGGCTGAGCCCCCCTCCTCACGGTGCCTTGGTAGCCCCGGAGACCAAGGAGCATCTGTAACAACGGCCCGGAACAGCTGGACTCAAACATCCGGGGGAGGAGCTTGAGCTCCTCTTCTACCTGGAGCCCCGCGCGTGCCAAAGAGGCGGAGGCGGATGAATACAACCTGAAGCCCCCCGCGCGCCAAAGAGGCGGAGGCGGATGAATGCGACGGGCGGCGAGGCGACATGAGGGTGTTCTGCGGAGCCGGCTGCATAGAGGTACCTGAGGTAACGCGCACGTGCCTTATGAGGGGAGTGGGGGGAAGGTGACAAGCTGTGGTGGTGGTGGTCATGAAGGTGGCCCTTCTTCCACACGAGTGCTTTGTTTTGAACAGGCTGAGCGGGCTTCTTCGTCCTTCCACTGAACTCTCCCGCGCTCCCCCCTCTGGTGGAACTTTGCTAGGCAACCAGTCAAGCTCCCTTGTTCTTTCCTATGGCTGTGCTTCGTCTTGCGAAACATGGCCATAAGAAAACTTGTCTTACGAGTCACAAAAAATCACAAACCGCTTTCGTCTTTTGAGTTTTTCATTGCGCGAGGCATTCGTCTTGCGAGGTACCACTGTAACATCAACATCATAGAGGAGCAGTAACCTACAGGGCTGTACATCAGCAACGTTAAAGGCTTTTTAATCTTGTTTGCAGACTCCTTTCCAACAGTGAATTTATTTTGGGTGGAAAAAAATTAAAGCAAATGAGATATGAGGTGGGCAGGCTGCCTAATGCTTAGTGTGACCTTGCATAGATTTGACAGTTTTACTCTGCTTGCAATAAAGAAATTACCATTGCTCTCTTTGTCCAGCAGACTTGCCGATCTTTATCCTTGGCTGGTCATGTTGGTTTTGATACTTTACCAGATCAATTGGTGAATAAATCTATCCATCAGGGGTTCTGCTTCAACATTCTCTGTATTGGTAAGTAATATATCTGTTAGCAGCATACGTTGTGTCTTCTCAATCTCATTGATTTAAAAGTCTGAAGCAGTGAAGGTGACAAAGGTGCTTTAGTTTCCCATTGGACATTACCTGGAACTTAATTATTTCTTTTCATTATGGTCCTTAATTGGTTTCATTCTTTATATGATCTTTTAATGGATTGCTAATTCTTTATGCTTAACAGTGATTATTTATTTATTTAATTATTTATTTTATTTGTACGCCGCCTACCTGGTCAATACGACCACTCTAGCCGACTTCCAGACAGATAGAAATACAATAACATATACATATAACAAAATCTGCTCAATACGACCACTCTAGCCGGCTTCCAGACAGATAGAAATACAGTAACATATACATATAACAAAATAAAAATATCCAACAATAGACAATAATTCCAAATTAATTCTTGTATTTAACAATGTACTTCACAATTATTGTGTGTCATTAATTCAAATTTCATTTCTTTTTTCTCTCCAAAGATTCTAGTTTTGGTAGAGCTAAAATAAGTTGTAAAAATGTAGGCAAGAAGGGCTATTGAAGAATCTTGTCATTTGGGGCCCATTTGAAGGAGGAGTTGACTATGCGAAGCATGGCCACTGTTTGTGAAACAGTGTTCTAATAAACATTTGGTGACTAAAGTTGCTGGATAAGTTGAGAACGGCTGGTTTAAATCAACAGATGAAATGCATAACTGGACCTGAAGACAGTTGGATGAGGCTTCAGACATGTTCTTGCTCTCGGAGCTGCTCTTTCCAATCTAACACCATCTTGATTTTCTGAATTATAGCTCCCATAATTCCTACTGACTGGAGCTGGTAGAAATTGCCATTCAGAATGTCTGGGGGTACCGTGTAAGGGAAATTTGCCCTATAAGTTTAAAGAAGAATAGCATGTACAGTGGTGCCTTGCAAGACGAATGCCTCAAGGGAAGAAAAACCCGCAAGACGAATGTTTTTTGCGATCACTGTGGTGCCTTGCAAGACGAATGCCTTGCGGGAAGAAAAACCCGCAAGACTAATGTTTTTTGCGATCACTGTGGTGCCTCGCAAGACAACTTCTTCTATGGCCGTGCTTCGCAAGATGAATGTTTTTCTCAAGACCGATGCCTCACAAGACGAATGAATTATTTTCATCTTGCGAGGTTCCCATGGGAATGCATAGGAATGCAATGCAATGCATTCCTATGGGAACCGCTTTTTGCAAGACAGCGCTACTTGCGGAACTAATTACATTCGTCTTGTGAGGCACTACTGTATGTGGAAATACCCTGTAAAACACAGACTCTCCAATGCTGTATTGTCAGCACAAACTTCATGCTATACATAAAACAAACTTCAGGAACAGCACAAAGCCACTGCAGCCGTATCTTCACAATAGGCACTTACCATAGGGACTGTAGAAAGAGGAAAACCTCTAGGTTTGGTAGAAATAGCAAGCAGCCCTGTGGTATTTTTAAGAATAGAAAGTTTTATTTGGCATAGGTTTTCATAGACTCCACTTCTTAGACCTGAAGAAGCAGGCTGCTGTCCATGAAAGCTTATGGCAACAAAACCTGATGGTCTTGAAGATGTAAGACTCGGTTGTTTTGCTGCAACAATCACAGATTTCTCCTTGAAAATATTTTTACCAACAAAACTTGATAGTCTTGAAGATGTAAGACTCAGTTGTTTTGCTGCAACAAACTATCACAGATTTCTCCTTGAAAATATTTTTAGGCTGGGTAAAGTTACTTCAGTCCCTAGGTGTCTTGCCTTCTAAATGATTTATCCATGAATAGGCTTAGTCTGGATGCTTTCCCCACAAAATATAAAAAGGGGAACTGAGATGAAATTTGGGGATTACGAGACAGGTAGAAGGAAATCTAAATTTGAATGTCATGAAGCAGTTGAGTTGAGCAGTGAAACGGGAAAAATGGAGCAAAACTGGGCAATAGAATAGTTATTGGGGAGTGAAGGTACAGTATTGCATATGTCGGGGTGGGAGTGCCATGGCCTAACAGACAGTACTACAAAAGAATAGAGATGGGTGGCGGGAGTGCCATGGCCTAACTATCAGACAGTACTACAAAAGAATAGAGATGGGCACAAACCTCAGTTTGGAGGTTCATGCCAGTTTGGATGTGCGGTACCACGGGTTCTGCATGTTCCCTTTCCCTGCCTCTCTGGCTAGATTCACACCAACAGGCACATGCTCCTATCCTCCTCCTCTTCAGCTATTTGACCAGTCTCCAGCAGGAGCAGGGGCTTTCCTGCCCCACCTCCTTGGCTGATTGCCCACTCAGACAAGAATGCAGGACAGCCAAACCTGTGCTCCTGCTGGGGACTGGTCGAACAGCTGAAGACGAGGAGGAGAGGAGCGTGCTTCAACTGGTGAGTGAGTCACTGGCTGGGGAGGCAAGGGAAAGGAATGTGTGGCACCTGTGATGCCACATGTACAAACTGACATGGACCACCAAACTGAAGCTAGCACCCATCTCTACAAAAGAATTTAAAATATTGTTTTGTCTGAACACATACATTAGTAAGTTATCATTTTGCATTGTTTACCTTTTTATGTTACAGTGAAATTTGTGTGATTCTAATTTGTCATGTATATGTACATTTTTACATTTCTTTAATTTTAGGGGAAACAGGAGTTGGAAAATCAACTTTGATTGATAGTTTGTTTAAGACCAGTTTTGATGATCGTATGTCAACACACTTTCAGCCAAATGTAAGACTTAAAGCTGAAACCTATGAACTCCAGGAAAGCAATGTTCGTTTGAAGTTGACAATTGTAAATACTGTTGGATTTGGTGACCAGATAAACAAACATGATAGGTTAGTTCCTGCTTATTCAAATAATTTGACCAATGATGACATTACCATCTGTTTATTTACCGTATTTGCCAGCGTATAAGATGATTTTTTTGCCCTGAAAAACATGCCTCCAAGACGGGGGGGTAGTCTTATACGCCAGATGCACTTCCAGCAAACCCTCGCTCTCTCCCAGCGAAGTCAGTTACCTGGTAGTAAGACCGAGTAGACCGAGCCCCGCTCCTCCTTGGTAGCCTCCGAACAGCGAGACTCTAGTGCCGAACAGCTGACCATCAGGAAGCAGCAGAGAGGCGGCAGCCATTTTGAGATGTGACCACATGGCTGCTACCTCTCAAAAGGGCTGACGCCTCTCCAAAATGGCTGACGCCTCTCTGCTGGTACCCGACAGCTGTTTGGCGCCGATGCTGTCCTTCTTCCAGCAAACCTTCAGTCTCTCCCAGCGAAAGGAACCAAAAGCGGCAAAATGAACTCTCCTCATGATGCAGCCAAAGCAGAATCATGCATGCGGAAGGGGGGGTAGTCTTATATGGCGAGTATATAACAAACTCTACATTTTGAGTGGAAATGTTGGGGGGTTGTCTTATGCGCCCAGTCGTCTTATACGCTGGCAAATACGGTATGTGCTACTTTTCCACATGATTGTTCCCAAAGCAATCCACAATACATAAAACAAACACCAGGAACTATTGCAGTTCAGAAAGATAAAATTATGCAATCTCTGTATCACTTGGTAAATATATAATAAAAATATCATCTGTACCTCTCTCTGAGAGCATATAGTGTTAATTTGTAGTGTTTTACATACACACACACAATCTATATCTATCTATCTACACACACATACAGTGGACCCTCTACTTAAGGAATTAATCCGTATTGGAATGGCGGCTGCAAGTCAAGTCGACTATTACAACATTGCTAATATGTTTATTGATGTTATTCAGCAGAATAGTTAGAAGACCTAGATATAAGTTTGTCTGATTTTTTTGTTGGAAAGATTGTTCTTTTATTTCTTGTTCTCTCACTATAAGAGAGTCTCTAAGAGTTGAGAGAAGAAAATGGTCATTAAATAATCAGTATGTTTTTGTAAAAGCCCCCTAACCCTAAAAAGATTGCTGACTATCAAAAGAACTAATTTATGACCGGAGACTTATTGTAACTCTCTGCCAAGGTAACATCAGCAGTAAATTGCCACTGGTTAAGGAGTCAGAATAGGCATTGTACACCACGTCATATGATTGGTGGGCAATAGTGCCTGTGCCAGCCTCTTAACTTGCATCAACTTGCTGCTGAAGGTTGTACTGCAGGTCTTGCCAGACATAACTAGCATTTGGACCTGTATTTCTTAAGGACTTGCATATACCTAGGGCAATATCAGACTTCTTTTCAATGTTAAAGTAGAATGCCACCTTCCAAAAGGAGTAGCTGTTCAAAGAAATAATCTCTTTATGCTAGGCTGTTTGGAATCTATCTGTTTTCTTAGCATAATTGACACAATACATGGAAAATTAATGGAGTTTAGTAACTGGTATAGAGGGAACTAAAGTGCTGTTGGAACAGCCATGACTAAGGCTACTTAAAAGCATTTAATTTGTGCTGGATTATTGGCTAGCTGTGGCTAGCTTTTTCTTCTGCTAAGCACTGTAAATGATCCTTCCTAGTTGGTCTTCATTGTAACTGCTTCCCAGCACCTTGTAATATTGAGCATCATCTCCTTCCAGCATGTCTAAGTCAGTTCATGTGCTGCCTCTACTTGCTCCCATTATCTTCTGTTAGCTTTTAATCTAATTGCAGTGTAGTGTTTAAGCTGCATGGGGGATAGTGGTTGGTGCCTTTCACATAGAGCATGGTTTGGTGCTGACAGACTGGAAAGAGAGAGGAAGTTGTAGACAGTTGTTTTTCACTGTAACAAGTACAGTGGGAAGAGGCAGCTGCAGTCAGGTGGAGAGTGGGGTCAAGGGCAGAAAGGAATGGCAGTATCTTCTCCTTTCAGCTCAGGAGGAGAATGGGGGATAATGTATGTGGTGCAGTGCTTTGCTGTCTAAAACACAGTGTTGTATGGAACATTCTTTGCTCTTTTTTGCTACTTTCTCTTCTTCCCAGCACTTGTCAGGGATTAGCGCACCCTCCCTCTCCACTTTAATCATCTCAAGTTGGAATGAGCAGGGTTTGTTGGTGGAGATGTAGCTGCAAACAGTCAGGTGGAGAGTGTGGTCAAGGGCAGAAGGAATGGCAGTATCTTCTCCACCTTTCAGCTCAGGAGGAGAATGGGGATAATGTATGTGGTGCAGTGCTTTGGCTGTCTAAAACACAGTGTTGTATGGAACATTCTTTGCTCTTTTTTGCTACTTTCTCTTCTTCCCAGCACTTGTCAGGGATTAGCGCACCCTCCCTCTCCACTTTAATCATCTCAAGTTGGAATGAGCAGGGTTTGTTGGTGGAGATGAGTGTCACCAGATCATTTGCTAAGCAAAGTTTATGCTGAGGAAGAAGTGATAGTAGCTTTGAAGAAACACATGAGAAGGATGATTTTTAACCGAGTATGCATTGAATGTCACGGTTGCTTGCAGGTGAAGTTCAGAGATGTCAGAGAAACTTTCAACACCTCTTAGACATAGTCATGAGAACACTGATTTTTCTGGAGTATGTATTCCTTGGAATTCTGCCCCCCCCTTTTTTTCATGGCTATAATGGCAGTATTTTAGTCAAGAAGACAACTGATGTGGGATGTATAATCTGTAGTCTTAAAAGGAAGGTACCTCCAAATGCCAGATACAGTGGGAAGGATATCAGGAAACAGGTATCTAGTTGTCCCGTGTGTTTCTAGAGGCATCTGATGGGGCCACTTTGAGATATAGGAAGTTGGACTAGATGGGCCCTTGACCTGATCTAGCAGGTCTCTTATGTTCTTATGATGTACTGTAAGAGCCTCGTGGCGCAGTGGTTAAACCGCTGTACTGCAGCCAAAACTGTGCTCA